GTAGTTAAGTATTCGTTCTATAGAGGCTTTTTCTAGTGATGCCTTCCTAGTTTTTGAATTCGCGCCTTTCCAAACCTTTTATTCAGGCTCCATGAATCCCAGTTCTACTACCCTGCTTCCCAGCGATCATCCTTTGCTTGTCGGGTCAGGCGGTAGCCTACTTTCCAGTCTACAGGCTATTGGACATCATGGCATCAGTCACGGACACTCTCATGGGCAAGGACATGCTTTGGGCCTCGGTCTTACTACAAGCTCCGGTGGTGGTATTATCGTCCCATTAGCTACACTCGAGTCAACGGCAGCAGCTGCGGCCGCTGCAGCCGCTGCAGCTGCTTCTGTTTCTACCTCCAGTGGAGATGTTGGTGGTGTGGTTGGATCAAGTCTGTCCGGAGGTGGAATCAGCGGTCTTAGTGCTGCTGGAGGAGTCGCCTCTAGCTTGCAGTCGGCTACGCCTTCCGTAATGGCAGCGGCAGCCGCTGTCGCCATGGCAGCCTATCTTACTGCGGCAAATGCCCCGGGGGCTCCGCCAGTTGGCCAGACAGCCGGCTCAGTCAGTGGAACTGCGGGAATGTCGCATGCTTCATCTAGCCTTACTGGTTCTTCAGTGATCGCATCGCTCTCCTCGGCTGCAGCCCAGCATCAGGTTTGCATCTTTCCATTTGTTAGCTTTTTCCATGCTTATGTCAGCAAATCCCTTGTCTTTAGGATCCATTTTCCATTGGAATAGATAGGAAACTTGATCTACTTGCTTTACTTTTGGGGCACGAACAGGAGAAATTCCTTACTTGCACTTTTATTTGTCAGTAAATGAGCGCAATATATTCACAAATTATTTAGTTTTTCAGGCTTATTACTTGAATTCATTTAGCTAGCTTGATTTATCCATCCTTATGATATGCACATAGGCAATATCAATAGTGGAAATAAATCATGTTAAGGTTCATAGCACGCACTCACTCCAGCACTTAGGCTTTGTACCTTTTAATAGAGTAAATGTCTTCGTTAGGATGACCTGTCTGTTGATTGTCCAAATAGAGACAAACTTGATGAGACCGGAAGAGAACGTGCTTGCAAGGGTTTTCATGTGCGAAATATTGATACCACACAAAGTGAATAAACATTAAATTTATTGTTTTTTTGTATTCGCATAAACAAAAAAGCCTATTTCAAGGTAGCAATCTTCGCCTCAATTTCGTGCCGCATCTTTCCACGATCTAACATTTCTCTTCTTAATTAGTCTTCAACCAGCTTCAGCAAATCTAGCTACCTCTACTCTACCTACTTCTAGGCCGTTAAATCTTTTCTCCGCAGCTTCCTTGTTTAAGTTATGATCTTATTTATTATCCCTTTTTCTATTTTGTTATTCTGTCTCAGTTTAAAATCGGCATTAGGTTACAAAATACTTTATATAATAGGGACGCCAAATAAGTGGGAATGTTTTACTCGCGGTTGGACATCATTTGGTTGGATACTAAGCAATGCCAGTCAAATGTAAGTGAAAAGTGCTTAGAATGGGCGTTAATAATAACATTTATAGACATTTTTATGTACTCAGAGTTTGTCTAAATTTATCCTCTGCGTCCTAATGAAATTAGAAACTGCTTGTTTGTCATAAAACTTGTATAATTCCGACCAAATAGTTGAGAAAATATGTCAGGTTACTGAGAAAAGGAAGATCTTTTTTGTTTCTCTTGATATGTAAAGTTTCATTCTGCTACTTGTGAATTTGAGTATAAATCTCATACTGCAATTCTTCGTGAGCATGATAACGACACTTTGAGTTGTGATCATGGAGGCTTATACGGAGACCATGAGGGCTCTCGAAAAGTCATTAAGCATGTATTTGGCATATTGAAAAGCTTACAAGGGTTTCCAAGTGCGAAACATGAATACCACATAAGGTGACTAAAGCATTACATAAATTAGTTTTGTGCCTGCCTTTCGTCGTCCATTCGCCAAAGTAAAAGGTTTTTTGCAAAAAATCCTTACTGGCGATATAAACTAGATATTGTATTAGTGTTGATTCAACCTTGTTTTCGCAACTTGA